ATTGCAGGCATGGGCCACTGTGCCCAGCTCTAGCTCCATTTGAACAACCCACTTGCCTACCTTTGGGTTCTTGAATTCCTCATGCCTGCAAACTGTGCCTGGCAGAGAATGCTCTGCTCCCAGAGTCTGATCTTCCCTGGGCATGTTATTCTTGATGACTACAGAGGTAGCCACTAACTCTGAGGACTGCCACAACCATCTCCGAACCAGCATGGAGCTCAGGGTCGCAGCCTGGATCAGATGGCTAACCCCAATTTTCTGCGAGGGTCATTGTCTGTAATTCACTGTCAATCATGGAGATTGTGTAATCCGTGGGCTATTTGTAAAACTGACAGTAGGCCTAAGCAGGTCCAGGTGTGCATACTTAGCCAACAACACAGGAGCCATGTGTTTGGGATGCCCAGCCCTACTGTGATCTTTTCCTTCATGATGTGAGCAAATCTTGAGCCTGCAGAGCCCTTCCAACCCAGTGGCCATGACCCATGAAGAAGGAAAGGGCTATCAGCTTCACCATCCCCTTGGGAACAGTATTGTGACCTTGATGCTAAAATTTGATAAAGATCCAGCTCAGACAATTTAAAAAAAGCACTGTACGCTATGAAAGATGGCCTCTTCCTCAGGAAGGCTCCAGCAGATCGAGGCCCCAGGCTTGCTTGCATGACTGTCAGGGTAAATATGCTGGCAGAGGTGGGGGTCTTTTGTATGGTCACCTGTCAGGCCCTCCTCTACACACTGTGTAGACAGGAGGACAGGTGTGGGAATTCCAGAGTCAGTATTAAAGAGAGGTGTGGGAGACCAACCTCGCATGTGACAGAGTCACTCCCAGGCTGGGTGACTGAGGCATCAGATAGCAGAAATGCCCCTAGACTACCCTTCTTGGATTTGAGGACGGTGTCTTTGTGTATAGGCCTGTCTCTCTACAACCCCACCTGACCTTGCAACACTGCCCCCCTTGATCTTCATTGGACAGAATTTTCCCCAGAATTTAGAGTTCCACAATAAAAGCCCACTCCAAAGTGTGTGCGTGCATGCTCCTGCTGGATCTCTCTCCCTCTCTCTCCCCCTTCTCTGTCTCCCCCCTCTCCCTC